CCTCTGAGGTCTCTCAGGTCCGGGGACCTCTGAGGTCTCTCAGGTCCAGGGACCTGATGTGATTAGGGTGTGAGTCACCGTAGGACACGTGCCGCTCCGTGCTCAGTTCATCACCCGTTCTGTGAGAGAGACGAACTGTAATTTCACTGGGATGTCGGGGTGAAAACTGTTTATTGACCTGGAGCTGAGTTTTTATGAAACGGGCCAGAGAGTGACGAGGCTCTGGTCCGATCAGGCTCATCAGTTAGAACATGAAAGTAGGTGGAGGATCATCGTCCTCTGCTGCTCTCAGCAGCTGTGTGAAGTGTCTGGTATGAAGTTGAGTCACTTCATCTGGAGAGACACTTAAAGAAACACTCAGGGTCCTCGCCATGAAGGGATGTTCTGAAAGTCTCCACAGACCTCCGTTCTGCTTTGCAACCTCTGCTCTTAAGATCCAGAGGCCAAGCTCTGCGTTTCATCCCGACGCTGTTGAAGTGCGTTACGTTCCTCCCCGTCAGTCCACAGGCGAGAAGCTGGGGGCTGCTGGTGCAAGAGACCAGCTCGAACAGACCCTGGAGTCGCAGCTGGAGCCAGTAGGCCGTCATATTTGGGCCTGTTGGAGGCGAGAGTGCTGAGATGTCGCGTTGGGCAGCGAGGAGACACTCGCTCTTTTGTTGCCCGGCCGCTGGGATGGTCACACTGCAAGAATCCAGAGTGGGACGAACAAGGAGCACTTAAAGCTCCTCATTGTTTTCTGTTCCCTTCGTGGCGCTTGTTGTCCTGCACTCCGTGTTCCGACGTTTGTGGGTCCAAACAAAAGCGTTGCAGAAAAACCATGTTAGCACATGCAGCTGCTGTTCTCCAGCAGAACTTTGTAAGAAGGAAAACGATTAAAAAAAAAGTTGAAGCTGCTGCCAAATGCTCATTATAGTCACCATGGTAACCACACATCTGTATCTGTCACTCCTTGACTGCCAGGTTAATGAGAGGCAGACTAAAAAGTAAGCCTCAACCAGTCTGTGTGAAAACGATCAGTCAGATGTTAAAAAGTCTTGAAGCATGAAGATTCTGATGGTCTCACACGTCAGCTGTTGTGTGTCTGCTGTGGTTCATGTAGGAGACACGAGTTCAGAAGACTCTTCAGTTTTTAACAGAACGTTTAGAGCTAAAATAGAACCGGTCTGTTCAAACTATTCTGCTGAGACTTGAGAGAAAACTGTAGTTCCTACAGCAGAGAGACAGACTGGAGACACAAAACTCACGTCTTCATGTAGAACATGTGTCAATGGACCAAAGAGAAGTTGGTTTGCCAACTCGTTTGGGAAGAGTTATCAATTCTAAAAGGATGAATTTTGTTCCTGATGTTTAAATTCTTTGGATTGACCATGACCTGGATGATGGAGACTCTTCAGCAGCCTGATGAACACTGCAGATAGAAACCACTCCAATCAGACGTCTGACCTTCGTCCTTCTGTTGAACTTTCTGTAAACTTCACTGAGTTTCCCATCAGGCCCGAGGGTTCTCCTCCTCTATTCTGCTAAGATTATGTTATCAGGACCGACACGATGACTTTATGTTAAGGTTCTGTCTTTCTCTAATTCTTCTTTGACTGAGTGTGATATCGAGGGACGCTGCTCATTCAAGAG